GCAAAATATATGAAATATCATGATTTGTAAATAATGAAATTCATATTACATTTATTATCATGATTTGTAGCATGACATATTTTAGGCGGCATAAACGGTAATCTCCATTGCGCGTAGCACCTAGACGGACGCCTAGAACGTTTTTAGAACGTTTCTTAGATATCATTCTCGAAACTCATTAATATCATAACTTCGTACTAAAATAGTTTTGCTTCTCAGGTAGTATTGCTTTGATGGACGCCGGAATTCCTGTACGATGTCATGTTGCAGGTGTCTCGATAGGTCTTGTCACTATTAGTGAGACATCGAACGGACAACTAGAGAATTACCGTATCATAACTGATATGTTGGTAGGTTTTCTTTTAAGTTTGTGATACGAGCCTCTGCTTCAACCTTTGCTTTAGCTTGGGCTTGCGTAAGTCAAGTAGTATGAGCCGATAACTTCTTCTTAAACCTCATGTAGAAAGGAAAACCACCAGAACCAATTGTAAAAAAGAAAATCACCAAAACCCGTAATCTAAAACCCTTAATCTACAACCATTAATCGCATCGGTTTGGTCTACTCTTTTGTCCACTTTATGTAATGATTAATTTGGATGTTAGATGAAATTCGTAGATACATTTATCTTTTCTGCTTGATTTGAATTTATAGAGATATAACTTTCTTTTATTCAGAGCTTGGAAGATGATTTAGTAGAAATGGATTGCAAAGTTGCTGGTACACGAAATGGTATAACAGCAGTTCAGTTGGATGTAAACTCAGTTGGAATTTCGTTAGATATCATTTGTGAAGCTTTGAGTTATGGACGTCAAGCCCGTCTTCAAATTCTTGATCAAATGGAGCAAATACTAGACTCCCCTAAAATAACTTCTTCTATACTCGTGAATCCTGGAAGAAGGGTACCTTCCTTTACTTTCGAATGGTTTATACAATCCTTGTTAATTTCCCTTGATTCTGATTTTATTATGTCTTCAGATACCCCTATACAACTATGCTGCGGACGTCGGTGAAGTGTATAAATGCATAGTGACATCAATTAGAGAGAAATATGGACAGGAATGGGCGGAGGTTGAATACAATGGTGGTATTTGTGGCCTACTTGACCCTTGAGAATTGTCCTATGAAAAGGTATTATCAAAGCAAATGGTGTGTTTTGTTGCATTGAGGTAGCTGAATTTGAATATGTGGCTTATGTTCAGGTATCCAAGGTTTCATATGTGCTATCTGTTGGCAAGCATATCATATTGAAGTGCATTAAAAAAGACTCTCAAGGTATGGTCGAGTTTTCTCTCAAGGCATTAGAAGAAGCTCCAGAGGTACCTTCCTTTACAATCGATTGGTATATAATCCTTGTTAATTTCCCTCGATTCTGACTTTATTATGTCTTCAGATGCCCGTAATCAGCAGTGTTCCGGAAGTCGGTGAACTGTATGAATGCATAGTGGTATCAATTAGAGAGACATTTGCTGTGGTTGAATACAATGGTGGTTGTTGTGGCGTACTTTCCGTTTGCGAATTGTCCAATGAAAAGGTACTTCGAAAGAAAATGGTGTGTTTTGTTGCATTGAGCTAGCTTAATTCAGTATGTGGCTTATGTTCAGGTATCCAAGGTTTCGGATGTGTTATCTATTGGCAAGCATATCACATTGAAATGCATTAGAAGAAGGCATGGAGATATCTTCGAGTTTTCTCTCAAGGCGGTGGCATAGATGAAACTTTTCTTACTCCTTCCTCACGAGTCTTTTCCCCAGTGATAGAAGCATATTTTTCTTCTTCTGATTGCTTACGGTTTAATCTCAATTGGCTATGTCAGATAATTCCTTACAAACAATTTAATTAAAAATTGTTTCGTTTTACATATTTTTTTAAAGATGTGATTGTTGCTCACCCGGATTGTGGCATAGATGGAAGTAGCAGTGAAACCTATAAACTAACCCGGATTGAACGTATGTAGTGTTGGAAAAAAAACTTTAAGATCTTATTTATAAATAAAGTTTAATGCGTTAAACTTGATAATTGACATCATAAGTCAGTTGATCAAATTTTGACACGTACATACAAGTGTAATTTTTTAATTAGATTTAACAATATGTCAAAATATTTATTTATTTATCTCTATTTGTAAAATAGTAAAATGTAAACCTAATTTAAATAGGATTAAAAAACTAAATTTAATTAAAATAGAATCAGAAAAATCTAATTAGATTTTAACAGGTGTTAAAAAAATCCAATTTGATAATTTTCCATATACATATCTAATTTATTTTTAAAATTATATATTTGTATTTATCAAGTATATTAACAAAATCAGTATATGTGTATCAAGATTTTTCAATTGATTTAATTTGTCAAAATTTTGAGAAAATAAATGTATGAGTAGATACATAAGAAAACCTAATTGAATTACAAATAAAATAAAATAAATATTTTGAAATACATTAAAAAGTGAAATAAAAAATAATAATAATAAAAGAGTCAAAACAACTTAATAATCGTGAGGTTTCTCTTATTAGTGGTTTTGCACTCTTCATGTTTCTTTTTTTACAAATTATAAAATTAAAAATTTTAAATAGGAAAATGAGTAATTAATTCAACTAAATTACTTCATACATGCATTGAAAAAAAACTAATTATTTTGAAAAGATGTGATCAAATTTACTTAAAAATCAAATAAAAAAAATAATCAAGTTTAAAAGGTAACTGCTAAAATATTTTGTATCACCGTTTCAATCTATTTCTATTTATTTTTATTGGGTAATTTAATTTAGCTTTTTAGTTTTCTAAATTGTTTTTTTTTCACGGATTTGAAAATATTGTATTACAAATCTGCATATATGCGGGTCCTTTAGCTAATGATGAAGAAAGTGTTAGAGAAATTTGGAAGATAATAGAAAGTTTAAGAAGTATAAGCTTTTTATTATTTAGAATTCTTTTGAAACAATTTGATTACAAATTAAATGAGAAAGTGATATTTCAAGTACGAACTTTCGCGAAGCTTTGAGCGAACTAGGGTTTTCGACTTAGATCGATCTTCTTTCCAGTTTACTCTGGAGAAATTTCACCAAAATCTTGCATTTATTTTCTCCTATCGCTTGTTCAACTTCTCAGATCTAGAAGTAATGGAGCCGCAGAGATCGATTTGGGAAGCTCTTCAACATCTTCGTCTGGGTTCAGATCGGGAGCAGTGGGATGTCCATCTTGATGCGCAATCTAAATTTAAGAAGGAACATCAGGTCTGTCTTGTTGCTATGGGCTTGAATCTTGCTCATCAGAATCCGGCGGGGATAAAGAAAGTCTTGCAGGGAGCTTGGGCAGCTAAGGGCTGTGTAGATGTGAAGATCAATGATGATGGTACTATTAATTTCTACTTCGCGAAGAATCATGTCGATACTGGAGGGAGCTCGTTATGAATACAGGGGATGGATGGTTGCGGTTGATCGATGGAGTTCTCCCAACTTTCTTATGGATATTCCCTTTTGGGTAAAGATTGAGAAGCTTCCTGAAATGTATAGAAGGTACAACATTGTTAATAGCATTGGCTCAAAGATGGGACATGTAGATGAAGTTAGAATTGTTGAACTTATCCTGCACTTAAGTAAGCCGGCTAAGATTTGGATTAGGGTGACTATGTCCATAGATAGTGAAATCTCTCTAGTTAGGACCTGAACTTTCTCGTGAAATCCCATAGGAAAGAGAGGTCAGACCTGATCGAATTTGACGTCGGTTCAAGCTTGTATCGTCTGAAGACGGGACTTGTCTCTGCAAATGGTTCGGTTATTATGGAGACGGATCAAACAAAGGTCTTGTCGACCGTTTCTACTCACAAAAACTCCAACTCGCCTCCTAATTCCGTTCTACTCAATGTATGAAATTTTGGAT